AAATCATTCAAATCTTACTTTACATAAAAAAAAAATGATCTACTTTAGATTAATTAAACAATTAAAAAGAAATGAATAGTAATCCATTTTAATTTAATTTTTTAATTTAAAATGGCTTAACATTGAATTGAATAATTTGAAGTTAGCATTCAATCTAGCTTTATCTAACAACAAACAGAATAATCTATATATCTGGTCTAGTAAAATCAAATATATAGTTTAAAGTAAATCTTAAAAATTATGAAATTGATGAAGCCTTAGACTTAATAAATGAAGCATTAAGCTTAATCCTTTATTTTCATAAGCATTCATTTCGAAAAGGTTTCTTAAAATAGTTCAAATAATAGGAGAAATTATACCTAGGAAAAAGTATGGATGATTGGACAGTTGAAGATGCAATAAAAGTTAGAGGCTTAGGAGTATTGAGGAACGGCAGCTTTGATTACAAAAGTAGTAACTATTTAAAATAATTTTAGCAAAAGGGATCACTCAAAAAGATTTATTGGTTGAAACATTATAAAATTATTTATATTCTATTCAACTCATTCCTTAATATGGTTCGATATTCTAGAGAATAGGTGACAACTTTTTATAACTTCTTAGGTATAGCAATAGGGAGATTGGGTAATTATAATGATGAATTGAGATACTATGATAAAGCGATTGAAATAAATAATCAATGTTACTTGGCTTATTATAAAAGAGGTAACGATTAATATTTGATTAAATAGGAATTCTAATGATGAGAAGGGAAAAAATATTAGGCTCTTTTAGATTACACCAAGGTCATAGATTTGGATCCAAAGAATATACAGGCATATAATTAAAGAGGTATCAATATCATTTTATATGTAATTGGAAATTTATAATATTATTTGGGGAATTGGGATAAGGCCCTCATAGATTTTAACAATGTCATTGAACTAGATTCTCATCAGCCTTCCAATAATGCATCGTTTTATTATAACAGAGGTAATAAACTTTGTGTTGAGTAGGATTTTTTTATTAGCAAATGGGAAATAAGAACCTCGTACTAGATGCTTATAGAAGAGCTATTGAATTAGATCCTGAAGATCCTTAAAGTATTGTAACAGAGGTAGCTGTTTATTTTATACTTAATAGGAATGATCTTCAAAGAAATTGATGAACAAGACAAGGCACTAATTGATTATAACAAAGCAATTTAGTTGAATCTAAATAAGGCTGCTTTTTATTTTCACCGATGTACTTTATTTATAATGATATATATAGGGATTTTATATAATAAAATAGGAAATAAATATTTATCTCTCTCTCTCTCAAATTATAATTAGGCTATTGATTTAGATCCTAATGATTTTTAGGCTTATTATAACAGAGGTTATCAATACATCATATTGAATAGGAGCCCTTTTACTTAATAATGAAAAATAAAACTTAAGCAGTATTAGATTTTAATAAGGCTATTGAATTGGATCCTGAAGATGAATCAACATTTTCATACAGAGGTTATCAATTACTATATGGAAGGACTTATATATTAGAAAATGGGGGATAAGAATTAAGCACTCTAAGACTATGACAAGGTAATTGAATTGAATCCTAAAAACCAGTTGCCTTATTATTAAAGAGGTTATTAGAATATTCTAGTGACTAGGAGTTCTATAGAGTGAAATTGGAAATAAAGATCAGGCCCTAATAGATTTAATACTAGTATTGCATTGGATCCTAATAATTCCAATGTTTATAATAAAAGAGGTAATTAAGCTATTAAGTGTGAAAGGTGCTCTTTTAAAAGAACTTAATGTAAACGATAAAGCATATTAAGATTACAATAAGGCGCTTGAGTTGGATTCTAATAATCTATTTGCTCTTGCCAATTTAGGTGATCTATATTATAAAAGGTAAAATTACATTGTATCTTTTGATTAATATTACCGAGTACTTAATTTATTGATAAATATAAACCTCAGTAAATCAATCAGTTGAATTTATAAGAATGGCAAATCTTCATAATTCAAGAAAAATTCAAGTTATTCCAAGAAATTTAAGACAGAGCAATTTAGTTAAAAATAGAACTTTAAAAACCACTAAGCCAATCGAATTATGATCAGTTCTCAATAAATGATATTAAAAGATTATTTCGTTGTTTAGAAAGATAAATAAAAAAAAAATTGAAACCATAAACAGAATTTTCAAAGCTGGAAAAAAAACAACAAGAACTTTTTGAATTATTATCGACTAAAGAAGATATGATTAGCTTAATAAATAGGTGGCTTAATCACTTCAAATGGCAAAGTAATAAAACCCTACTGTTCAATTAGAGGAAGAAGCTAAATTGAAGCGGATGGATGACTAATTTATTGAAGAAGACTATCTAAACTTCACAAAGTTGAAAGTAATCATTAATTATATTATTACAATACTTTGTTTTAATCTTTGTATTGCTCTCTATAAGTAATCCTAGAGAATTAATAAGAATTATCACAAATAAATAAAGATCATCTAATTGAAAATTAATGAAAAATATTAGAAGGAATATATGTTTAAATTTTTACTCTTAAACCAAAGATTGAAATAGATAGAGAAGCATTTGACCTTGTAAATTAAGCCTTAGATAATTGATATAATCTGAAAAGAAATATAAAATTTAGGTTAGGCTTCATAGATTGACCAATATATATAAATTCTAGAACAATACCAATCTCTTCGAATTAGAAAAAGAACTCAAAATAGCTATTATTGAACTTGCAATGTAATAATCAAAGGATTTGTAGGACGAAAGTAATTCATAGTTAGGTGAATTTGTAACAAAACTAAGCACTGCAAAATACCAAAAAGAGCAAAATGTGCATTAAAAGACTGGAATCCATGATGCTTTGATCGTTATCAAATAATTAGAGGATAGGTCAGTTTCAGTTAAGGAATGAATGAAAATAAACTTAGAGTATTAATTTTAGATGCTCTAAAGAAAAATAAGAAATTAAAAGTTTAATTTCAGCACATTGAAAATCCAATTATTTATGATTCATTTGTTATTGATAAAAATTCCTCCTGTTAATGCAGCAAAATATTTTGCTATATTTAATGAGCTAATAATTTTAATGAATATTATTGAATTTATTATTTAATAAAACTATTAGCTCTATCAGAAAACGTTTGTTACCATTATAAAAATGAATATTTATAACACTATTATTATAATAGAATAAACTACATTTATATTATTCTCTGATAGTATTTTATAGAATTAAATTGAAACTGAAGGATTTAAATATTTATATTTGTTTGAGATTCTTAATCATTATCTCAAACAATCCAAAATTTAATAATCAATTGTTCTTAATATTCATAGAGTAGCTTTTAAATTCTTTAATATTTTATTTCTTTGGGTCAACATTCTCTTTAACATAAAATATTTTGAATCTTAAAGTTCTAAAGTGAATAAAACCTTAAGAATAAGCGACTATAATTATTATGGATTACAACTATTCTTAAAAATTCAATTTGATTTAAATCATATTTATATTGATACAACAGCGCTATTACTATTTCTTCTGG